CAATATAAGTTAGGTATTCGGAAGCGAAACGGGAAATCCAAACAGACACTTACTCTAACACAGAAAACTGTAGTCTTACGGCAAACGACAACAACCAAACGATAAACAAAAAAAACTTCAACTACTCTTCTCTAAAAATCGCACACGTCAACATTAAAAAAGGGTCTGCGTGATTTGCTTACGAGATTGCTTCGTAACCTCAAAGCACGCGCACGCGAGTCGCGCGCGCACAAGTTTGTTAACGTCTTCTTAACAGCAGGCAAAACTGTGGCAGCTGTTACAATATATTTATTGACAACAATATTCGCTATCACAGTGGTCAAAATGTTGTGGACTCACAGGGTGAAACCAAGTCAGTCAGCAAAAAATTTTGACCACTGAGGTGATGCACATCATTGTCAGTAAGGGTACAGACCACACTAAACCACTGTTGCTTTATTTGTAACACAATATCAATGTCAAATAAAACAATTCTTTCCGTGCATGACACAATGGGTGACATGTTGACATGGGCAGCGTTGTCTTACTCTTAGCCACAATGGAAAATTAACCAATCAGATTGAGACATTACTGCTAATTTTGGCAACTTGTAACTGTTGTTTTACCTCTGCCCATTTCTGTGTCTGACTGCCATGATCTGGATTCTCCTCATCTGAACCAGGATTCTGAAGTACAGCAAACAAATAAGAACACTGACTGTCTTGTTACAAGAACTTAGTGATTTCACAGGTGAACCAATGACACAAAGTTGGCATTAGGAGAAGTGTGTTAGGCAAGGGTATAATTTTGCATGATGACAGTGGATTACCGGTTCTATTGATACAACATTTTTTAAAGGAAACCTCTACTCATGGAAAAAATTGCCACTGATTCATCCAAAAATATATCTCAAGCTAATACCTGTTGGCATAGATGGGAATAAGGTATTTAGAGCAAGAAAAATTTGAACCAAAAATCACCTATTTTGAAGTGAAATTTTTTGTATATATATATATATAGCCATTAAAGATGGCATAATATTTCATGATTAACACCATTATCTGCATGTTCCCTTTTGTAAACAAAAGAAATATTGTTTGGCAATAATAGTTTCAACCTATGATGTCATACAATGGTCAAATTCAAATATTTCTTGTTTTTGTTGTCTGCAGTTTTCACTTATACTGGTGGTTGTTTTGACTACTACTATTAATGTTAAACCACAAGACATTTTTGTTGAGTTGATGGCAACTTGATCCAATAGAAGAAGTTTCCTTTAGGGAGAAACCAGCTATTCACCACCAACCTTCATCTGTTCATAATTTCTGACTTCTTCATCCCAATATAAAAACATCTCTACTGCAGTCTGCACTCTTTGAAGAAGAACCTTAACAAAATGATATAAAATAACTCGATAACAATTAGGCCTAACTAAGCTGGCTGGTTCTCAGTCAATACAGAGGTGGAGTTGCAGTCACATCACGAGTCAAAAAAGCTCATAAAATCCATGATATCAATCAACAAATATAACTGATTTTATTAAAAACTAGATCATTGGATAATGCAATTCAAGACTTTTTATTGGCTTAGCCATTATGGTATATCAGTCAATATACCATAATCTACAAATATGGCAAGCGTACGTGTCAGCTTAAAATTAAAAGGGAGCTAAAATTTTAATAAAATTTAATAATTTAATTTAACGTTTTTTAATAAAACAATTATTCCACTCTCACTTGTTGGATATGAGATGATTATTGCCAACTCGGCGCTACGCGCCTCATTGGCTATCTATCATCTCATATCCAATGCGCGCTCGTGGAGTGATTGTTAAATATTTCTTCAAAGTCATCATAATTCCAAGCTCAACCTCTCTCCTCACACCTATTTGGCGGCATTAACCCTCCAACTCCCATGAGTAATGGAAATGACAGGATTTGGTATTGGATAAAAGTAATAATCCACTAATTGAAAGTTTCCTTTATTCTCATCACTTGTCTGTTTGATATTGTATTGATATTGTAAGGAGAAGTTCTGTCTTGGTCACTCATGGGAGTTGAAGGTTTAAGTGTGTTATTTAGTTGAGAGTTATAATATCATGACTCAAGCTTTCTCAACAGGCAAACAGAGAGAGGGTAAATACTACACAAAACTTAATAGAGAACTCAAAGTGAAAAAAGGTGAACGTACTGAAAAACATGAAAATGCAAGAGGAAATGTACACGCACCTCAGCACTCTTGACATAGTGGTGAACACTCTTCAGGTCATTTACAATAAGTTTTTCTTCTGCAGTTTCCTACAATTATTGATGAATGCATTAGTTCCATCTATAGCTACTCTGTTTTATTATCCAGCTGTGCTTTGTAGAGTACAAATAACACATGAAACAAGTACAAATATCACGCAATATTTGTACTCTAGAAATATCTGTGAAATCCGCCCGTACGTTTTTTTGTGTAGCATCGCTGAGTACTTTTACTCATTGTTTGTATTTTGACAAGCCAGTAGGTGCGTCAAAATATGGCACAACTCATAAAAATACTCAGTGATACTACACACCAAAACATCTAATAAAATATATATACATGTCTTGTTGGGAAACACTTTATTTTCATACTGCCCCTAGGGGCCAGATAATAGATAAGCTAACAGTCAAACATCTAGTTGTCAGTTTGTCAGTCAGTCAGTCAGCCATTCATCCCTTCACTATTTCTTAAGTAACTCTTTAGTCCATACAGGATATATCTAGCAAAATCAGCACTAAGAAAATATAATTCCTTTTTTTTTCCACTCACTCGATTATTCTCCAATTCAATGCATATTTTACTAAGAGCTTCAGTGGCAACCTGGGAAATGAAGTAAATGCAATGGTTATTCTGAAATTAGCTCAGAAATTAAAAGTTTGAAAAAGTCTAAATTTTATCACATTTCAAATCTAATGACAAGAAAGCCAGGATTACACTGGAATTTTATGACAATCAATTGCTTCTCTCAGTGATTGAGTTTATTGACAAATAATCATAAAAGTTAAGAATAAAAACCAGTGATATTAAAGAATGACGTTTCGATGGCTCCATGCCATCATTCTGAAATTCAAATAAATAATTTTTGTGAGTTCATTATATAGAAAAAGTATGTGTGAAGGTCTCAATGTATATGATTAAGAAATAAAAACGATCAATAAAAGTTAAAACTGGGTGAATAAAATACAAGCATGGTGTGCTTGAACTGTCAGATAAAAAGTTTTGCTTTGATGGAGTCAGATTGAGTGTTAAGTGTTGGTTTTCTGTCTTTGATGAACAGCATTTCATAATTAAAACAATCCAGCTTCTGACAGCATTTCTTGAGGATTGAGAATTGGTCACGAAGAACTTTGTTCTTTAGATTGTGTACGTCCCGTAGGTGTTTACCAACGACAGAATGCTTGTGCTCCTTGATGCGCTGAAATAGGTGTCGGCATGTATAGCCAACATAATCTACATCACACAGATCACATTTGTATACATAAACAACAAACAACACATACTTTTTCTATATATTAATGAACTCACAAAATGTACTCATTTGAATTTGAGAACAATGGCATGGAGCCATCGAAACGTCATTCTTTAATATCGCTGGTTTTTATTCTTAATTGCTTATTGAAAACTTTGGTTATTAGAATCATAAAAGTACCTTTAAATATGTATCTGCAGGTTCAAATTCTGCCAAAGATTTAAACCAAAACCCAGGGCCATCTAAAAATGAATATTTACAAAAAATATTTCTGAGAAAAGTTTGACAAGGTGCAGCATTAAACCCTTTAAATCCCATTAGTGACCAAGAAAGAATTTCTCCTTACAATATCAATACAATATCAAGCAAACAAGAGATGAGAAGAAAGAAAAATGTTAATAAGGGGATCATCAGCAGATCCAATCCCAAATTCTCAAGACTAACTTTGCAAGAATTATATGAAAAACAGTTATGAGAATTACTAAGGAGATCTCGGGGGTGAATGGGTTAACAACATACAAGGACAATGACTAAAAAATGCTCTTCTTAATCATCTATTTATGGGACTGAAAAGAAAAATTTCCTCAATTCCATCTTGTCCTTTCTTTGGATTGGATTGCAAAAGGTAATGGGTTAAACTGCTTGGCAGAAAAATTTACTAACACAAATCACTCAAAACCTACCTACTGTGTTCTTGTTTAGACTATCCTCAAGGTGTGTAATCAAGCCATCAAGATTTGCTGCAAACTTCTCCAAGTATCTCTATTGTGAAAATCAAATTTATACAGCACATTAAGTTCTCAATTTTCCATCTCTAATCAGACCAGAAACTGTGTCTTGGAGACTCTAACAAGGTTTGCTCCAAGTTTAAAAGAAGAAATTTCCATGACTTTTACTACCTTTACAAACAACTTTTTGAAATTTTTCATGACCACTGATCAAAAGGGGGATGGGGTCTAAAATAAAGTAAAAATGAACATTTAATAATTAGAAGGCATTGTTTCTTTGCTGTTCTCTAAAATAGTGTTTCCAGACATTTTCCACAACTTTGCTCAACTAAAACCATATTCTAGCCTAGAAAATGATATTGTGGAATTCTATGACTTTCCTTGCGTTTAAACTTCATTTCAAGAGGATGGTACATGTTCTGTGTGGTAGTATGTCAATGGTTTAGAAAAAAGTTCCCAACACAAACAAACAAATAAAGCATGCATGTTATGTAAGTCATAATAGAAAGTATAATACTGTGTAACTTATTAAATAATGATCTAAAAAAATGTTCTCACATGCATCTAGGAAAAAATAACAAACATGCCTAAGATTGTACATTCTTGAGTCAAAGATGATTCTCTATAACACAGCACAGCTCTGCTGTGAAGCTAGTTTTATTAACCTGTCTCATTATCAAAAATAAATAAATTATGACCCTGACTGAATTACGGATTGAATTATACAACTGGGCCCTGATAATTAATTACTCAATAAAATTATAACAACCTGGCATTTGATCACTGGAGCGTTTTGGTCGCAGGGTTCCTGTTTCAAAGTCTTCTCAGCTGTATTGGTGACTTTTCTCTTTCTCTTATCCAGTTCCTCTCTTGCCTTTTGTACATCCTGAAGTGATTTATAAAACATCATCATCAAGATGGAAAGAGATTCTAAACTTGTTAAGTAAGGCTCTAACCTGTACCTTGGGATTTGCAGTCAAGTATTCTGACTACGAAGGGACTGCATCTCTGCTAAATACAGTTTTAGAACAAAACATTTGTCTTACCTGACCTTCCCCTGTTAAAAACAGGTTCAGAAGGGGATGTTTTCTCAGAATCTGTAAAGAAAAAAAAATGGACATAACACATTTTTTCTGAGCTAACCATTACAGATAAAATGTACAGTGTATCTCATAAATCTTCTTACCTTGTGAGCACAAATTCTGGACAGAAATCTTTGAACCTCTCTCATTTTTCCTAAAAATCAATAATTCAGGGAGTTGTTAAGTGAGGATGGCCTCAAAAGACAACAAAATTCTCATTTCTCAATGTGAATCTTAAAACAAAAATTACTGATTTAGTCCACATGAGGAAGATATCACTATTCACAAAACATCCCAGAATGCACTGAAAAAAATAAATCACCAAAAACAGCTACCTGTATTCCATATTTTACTGTTTCAACAACAACTGGCTCTTGTTTGACAGTAACAGAAACATTTTAATCTTTAAAATGAAAAACATTTTCATACACAACTTAAAGTTCCAAATTTTTCCAACCCTTCTTTCATATCTTAAATATTGTCTTTCATTTCAATTACTTTCAGGTAAACTTTATGTCTGCTGTAGGAGGTTACAAAAACCATTGATGTACAAGCTTTCAATTAATGGGAACTAAGTGTTGGCTGGTGTGAGGATTAAAACCAAAACACCCCTAAATTCCAGCAGTTTGTTTCTCAATTTTCTCCTTTCCATCGTTCTTGCAGCTTTGTTGCTCATTTTTGCAGTTCACCCACTCAAAACTCACACAACATACAGTTGAACAGACCAAGTACATGATACATGTACTTGACCATGATTGAAAAATGCAAAGTCGATGTAATATGGCCATTTACCATGTAACGATGAATGTGACACCATAGGAGGTACTATTCTCTCTGGACAAGCTTCCTCCAGTGCCGACTGAAGCCATTCAAAATCACCTTCACTGCGATGAACCTCATAATCTGAGAACTTGTAGTCTTCATGAGTAGTCTGCAAATACATTGTCATCATAACAATAATGTAAAATTAATATAAATTATAACTATGATTACAAAAGCTGACGTTTCGAATGTTAGCCCTTCGTCAGAGCAAACAGTTTCTTTAGAAACTATCAGCCTTTATAACTATGACTAGAATGGAAGACGAATTGTTAAAATCTCTCTCTTGGACCTCCTTTATTTTCACTCGCAAGATCTAAAAATTAATTTATCGCACTATTTGCCATGATAGATTTGATACCTTAGTTTCATGGTATCAATTAATTCATCAATTAATACCCCTCACTATTTTACTCTCACCTCACCATCTTTCTGCTTGAAAATGTTAGTGAACAATTAATTTGTATTTTAAGGAGAAATTTCTGATCAGAAATGACATAATCATCATTTACTCTTTTTGATCACTTCATCCTAAATACTGCTGATCAACATTGTCAACAGTCAAAAGAAATAACCTAAAGTATGCTTCTACCAGAAGTTATATATGATCAGTAATCCTCTACAACTATTAAATAAATTCAGATTCCTTCTGCGTACCTTTGTTACCACTTTAAATGTGGCATTCTTCTCATCAGTCTCTGAACTGGTTACTGTAACTCGAAGCATGTCTGTTCCTGGAGTTGTTGGACTAAAATGGACAATTAAATCATTGATAATAACTCGTAGTTGATCACAAACTTGTGAAAACCACTCACAGAATATGATGTTACAATGAAGCTCTTGGACTGATGATTGTGTCAATAAGCCATTTTTCACATAAAACCTTGACAGCTTCTATCAGTTTACTTCTGACAACACTTTCTAATGATGACATACCATCAGTAGATGCACTACATTCCTTTTCTAGCTAAATAATCATGACAAATTTTTAAAGACCCTCCACACTTACGTTGTAGGTTGTTTGCCTGTATCCTTTGAGGAGCAAACCTTGGAATGTGAAGCCAGGTCACCCACCCTACAAGACCAGATAAAAAAATATCAACTATTTAGCAAATGACATTTTCAGTAATAAAAGTGAGGAAAAAAAAAAAATATAGAACAATCCTCACAACTAAAAGAAAAACCACTTCAGCCTACAAAATTTAGTCGTGAAGTAGCAATGGAATTATAGTCTCCTCTTGCTAATTTGCATTCTAGCAAGCTAGTGGGTAAATAAGATATATTTCAGAGGTACAGAACAAAGATGAACATCCTCAATTTTTATTGTTCAGGCCAGTATCAGAAAGTGCTCTTAGAACATGTCAGAGTACCTCATTTTTTCATGGCAGAGTGCACAAGAAAGCATTAAATCATCCGATGAACTTTCAGATTTAGTCTGCAATAAGAGCAAAACAGCAAATTGTTTTCAGTCACTAGACTGAAAGGGTAAAGCGCTGAATATAAATAACAGGTCTATTGTACCAGTCAGCACACACACACAAAAAAAAAAAAACTAGACACTTGAGCTTAATCATTGGAGGTACACTGTTACAGTATTTAATGCATTCAAACTACTTTTATTAAATTTCATAGTTTGGTTTTATCAACTGCCACAAATCCTCTGATACGCCTACTGAGGGCCTTATTTATTGCAGGTACTTTCGGAGGGGAGCTTGTTAATTAAGACAATGAAGAACTCAATGTTTTGATCTAACTCTCTCAATGGACCTTGTTTAGCCATGTTATATTTTTAGCATCACTCTGTAATTTCCATATACCACTTTCTACTGATGCCAACAAGATAACATCAATCAATCAATCAATCAATCGATCACCATAATCGATTTTAAATGACAAACTAAAATTACAGTACTTGAATAAATTTATCATACTTACTGACATGGAGTGTTACTTTGAATTTTTGTTTTCGGAGAGGGTGGGGTGACTGGGGGGCTTACTAGAGGGAGGGGCTTAATAAGTTTCTTCCTCTAAAGAGGAGTGGCCTTATTAGAGGGTGAGGGAGCTTATAATAATAATATAGCATTTCTGACTGCTTGCAGCCTAAGGCTGAATTACGGGTGCAGTTTAAGGTTGAGAACAGACGTCAGCATATCAGGTGCCTCTGGCAGCTGCTTCAGTCCATCGATCTCACCTTCCCACCCATCCCACCCAGGGGAGGACATCCATCACACAGTAATCTTGTGTGTCGGAAATTAACATCTCCTACCCCAACCCTGCAGGAGACGGGACCTCCATTTATTCGTCCCTATCCGAGAAGACTAGAATATCTAACCATTTCTTGATGTTATAGAAAGGCAGCAAATTCTTCTCAATTATTTTAAGACCGTGAGTGTTGGTCCAGCCGGGGCTCGAACCCTCGACCTCCCGCACAACAGTCCAACGCTCTATCCATTGAGCTAACCGGGAGGCGGTTATTAGAGGATTTACGATGAGTAATTATGTGAATTGGCTGTCATAAAGAGTTTTTAAAGCTGATGTTTTCAGCATTGGCCCTTCATCAGAGAAAAGCCTTACCATATTTAGTGGGTATACATAAGCTATCAAAACAAAATAGATACCTTTTTAATGAATCCATTTGCCTGCGATTTTGTCTCCTTTTGAATAATCTTCTCCAGAAGTTTTATCTGCAACATCAGCATCACGAAATAAACAATTATCAGTATCAATAATGAATAAAGGCTGATAGTTTCGAAAGAAACTGTTTGGGGCTGCGTCAGTGGGAGTAACAAAATAATTTGGATATATCAACAAAGTTGAAATAGTAAATTAGCCACCGTAATGATTACAAAAGCTGACGTTTCGAGCGTTAGCCCTTCGTCAGAGTGATTAGAGGAATTGTGGGTTGTGAGTGCTTTTAAAGGCAGAAAATGGAGCTATGTTATTGGTGGGAGCATGGCAATGAGAAAAACATGAATAAATTAGTGGAATGAAAAGTGTTCGTTGATCCCTGTGGGATTTAGACTACCGGTTTGAAAGATGAGCTTTTGTTCAAGATTTTTACGGCTTTCCGTGCAACCTAAGTGCAAGGAAAGACTGCAAATTGCCATGTGTTGCTTAGAATGATTAGGTAAATTAAAATGTCTAGCAACTGGTTTCGATGTGTCCTTGTCATTCCTTTCCACGTCTTGAAGGTGTTCTCGGAATCGGTCACCTAGTCTTCTGCCTGTTTCGCCGATGTATATCTTTTTGCAATAAGTGCAAGTTATGCAATAGATTACATTGGCGGAGGTGCACGTGAAGTGATCGGTGATCTTAATGGATCGTTTAGGTCCCGATATTTTATCAGTGTTGTGAATGAAAGGACACATTTTGCATCGTGCAGCCTTGTTGCTCATTAGTCTGAAAGAACTTCTGACCAAAAAATTGCCTATGTTTTTGTCATGTTTGAATGAAATGAGCGGAGGCTGCGAAAAGATAGTGCTTGTCTCTGGATCGTTTTGAAGTAAATAGTATCAATAGTTTCATTTCGGTGCAACTCAACAGCTCAACAACCAGAAAGAAAGTATCAAAGATCAAAACAAGATTAAGAGGGACTGTCAGTGGTAATACAACTCAAGGTTTAAAGTGGCAATGAGTGAACAGTAAAGTGTTAGTGAACCAGTTCTTAAGTGTAACCCTGACAAGGACTGTTAGTAGTGACATTAAATCTGATTATTAATTCTCCCCTCAATCTGCTACACATTTCCTTGAAGATAGTTTGGAGAATTTGGTGTTAGATCAAGATGATAACTTGTACCTGATAAGTTTGAGTATTCTCATTATCTGTTTGCTGTTTGCTAGATTATGTATAAATATTATAGGGAGAAGTTACATTTTAATCACCTCTAGGAGTTAAAGGGTAAAGTTGACATGGAATGAATTTCTGGAGTAATGAGAAGGACTACTGTTTGGATTGAAAAAAATTAATTTATGTCATTCACTACCACAACAGACACTCCTCTTCAAAACCACACTCACAAGGACAATCACTCTAAACAAATGATTGTTTAAACCATACCGCTGATTTATTGCCAGACTTGTTTATCTGACTTTTGATGTCTTCTAGTTGCTTTTGGTATTGGCGGCTTCTCTGCTGCTCCTGAAACAGAAAGAAAGTGCAAAAGTTTAGGAGCTGCAATCAGTACTTACACTGGCTGACAGAGGGTGACAAAGGGACATAGAGAATTGACTCCTTCACTCCTCTGATCAACAAACTAATTCTCCCAATGAGTACCTTACATTTCTATGGCAAGTCTTGAAGATTTGGTGTCATATCCTCGGTACAAATTAAGGGAGGTGTGTGTTGTCAGTTATGACTGCTGTCTTTCTCAATTTTTTTATTATCTACTGCCTCCTTTGATATAAATAGGTTACAAATTCTTCAACAGTCCTTTCTAAACAAGTGTTGTAGAACCAAAACTGGGTGAAAATGATCTCATCAGCCCATCAGAAGTAACTAACAAAAATATTACTAGGAACCCAAAAGAACGTAAATTAAAAAAAAACAAAAAAAAAACAAGCAAACTGCCTGAATTGCAGGAAAATGGAGGTGACAAAGTCTCCATCCATTTCCAATTTGCATCTGATTTGTTGACTGATCACAGACCAAAACCCACACTCTCCTGCTTTGCCTCTGACACTCAAATGAAAATGGCTCCAAGTACCTCAATTAAGGATTGCTGTGCAATTTCAAGTTCCTCCTTGGTTGAAACCATTGTTTCTCCAACTGCATAATACCTGAGGAGAAAAAAACTAAATCATTATCAAAAGAGAAATCAGAAATAACTTCCAGTTTTCTTGCTAAAAAAAAGGCTCACAGAGAATCAAAAAGCGAGATAAAACAAAATAATTAAATTGCACAAAATCATTTCTGTTGGTTAATTTCCATCTATGTAAGCTGTTCACTTCCTTGGTGACTTACAAGTTTCTATTGGGCATGGTAAACAACAGGATTATCAAAAAATCAACAAAAAGGTAAAAAATTGAATTATTCTTCAATACACATACTGTCCTTATGATTATCTGAAAATCAATGAGAGTCAAGTCTAGCTAATAAAAAAGTTACCAAACATGGAATGGAAGAAATTAATTTAAAAATGAATGAGCATAGTTAGTAAGTCAAGAGAGTCACTGCAATCAAAGTTACAACTTGAGGAACTTGTTTACAAAAAGAGGGTAATAGGTAATTACTGATGTGTTTGCTACATGTTGCTGCAAAGTTACAGCTGCTGTGTACTAACTATTTTCAATCATACCTTCAGGCTGAACAAGAAATGTTAACAATACATAATTTATTGATATATATATATAGTAAGGCAGTCCTGAAGTAAATCCAAAGGTTCTGATTGGTTCTCACTTGGTGGGGATTTTGCCATATGAACCGTTTCCACCAAAATAGTCATAAACATGTCTTATTGTTTGCAAAAGCCACAAATTAAAAAACCTCTTAATGATAACAAACATAAAAGAAATGAACCAGAATCAGAATAAACAATTTTAAAGATGCCAAAATCAAATAATAAGGCAGTGGTATAGATAAATCTACTAATTAACACAAACTTCATTTATGCTAAAGAAGTTATTGACCCTCTTTCTGTAAACAGTCACCCTTTCAATGCTGTTAATGAGAACATGTTTAAAAGAATATATTTAAATTCATTCTTAGTGGTTACTTATTAATCACTCATAACATTTTGAAAAATTTGCATAGCACACATGAATTATACACCATCAGTAAAGGTTAGCTTTTTGTTATTAGCTATTGGTCGCACTATTACAAAAAAAAAAGTTAACATAACTCAGGACCACTAGCCAAGGTTAAATAAAAGACATATTGTTAACCACAAAAGGCCTAAAACGTATGCGTAACTGTTCTGTAGCTCCCATTTTAAGTGGTTTTCATATATTTCTTACTGTTGTAACAGCTGATGAACAAGCTGTAAATTGTGCTTGTACTCTTGAGCAGACCTTCAAAATCAAGAGCAATGTTAGGGCATCTACTTGCATATATCGGAAGAGGGTACCCTAAAACCACTTTTTATAGGTTTCATTTTTCATCCAGTCTTAAAATCTGAAGGCAAATAATCTATTGACTTCATTCTCAATTGGAAAAAGGTTTGAAAACCAGGGATTGATTTTGAAGTTTAATTTTCCATGTTATAACATATCATTCATTTGGCTATTGGCTCTTGATTGAAATTACATAGGTACACATGCCATACAGAGTCTGAAGGCTAGATAATGGGTGACCATAGACCTGCATATGACAATGGCTGGTGTCACTGACTATTGTTTGGATAACCTGGACGACGAGTTCCGCACAGATTGTCAAAACATCAGTCACTACTACTGACAACAGTCCTTCTCAGAACCACACATACCCTCCCTTGAATTATCAGAGTACACAATCAACTAATTCCAATTCCTTACATTTAGTTAGACTTAGTACAAGTGCATTTTTTATTTTCTCTTATTGACATAAGACTGGACAGGATTGGTGGATCAGAAATCTACTAATTTATCCTTGTACAGAAAACTTCTTCTGATATTCTACAAATTATAAATAATTATGCTGCCTTTAGTTACTCATTAAACATTTAAAAACATTGTCTAGTATCGTCAACACTCAGATCTAATAGCCACTTAAATTTAATTTAATTTTAATTTAATTTAATAACTTCTAGTG